GAATCCAAGCAAAGCCCCTTGCTCCAAGCCTTCAATCTCCCAAAATTCCTTCAACAATTACTTCTCCAAGCTCCAATCCACTCAACAATGGTGCTTCTCCGTGATTTAGGGTTTTCTGGGGCTCAAGGGGTGATAAAGAGGCTGGGAGGAAGACATAATGATCTTTATATAAGGCTCAACCCCGAGAATTAGGGTTTTCTCCACTCAGTGCCTACTCGCCGAGTCCATCTCACTGACTCACCGAGTCGGCAACTTAACACGCGACCAAGTCGCGACTCTACTCGTCGAGTCCATCCATGGACTCGCCGAGTCACTCTTTCACAACTTACTCTTTTAGCCCCTTCAACTCTATTCTTGATATTTCGGGATGTTACAGTCTGACACCTAGTCCATATATACAACACATACTACCAACCAACTCATCTTTTACCATCTACGAACATCCTAAAATAACCAAAATGTATTCATTATGAGTTTTAGATTTATAAAAAACTACATTAATATTACATTTTATTTGTAGAGATTATAAACCATGTGTATTGATGTATTTTTATAACTTTTCAATAGATATATTATCAAAGTTATAATTATCATAAAACAAAGTCCCAATTGTTGCGGTTGTGGTCGTGAACTTGAATCATCCTGCAACTTTTTCCTCCAATTGATCACAACCATTTGTGTATTATTAGTTTTTCTTTTTGTTATACATCAAATTCAGTCACGATATGTTCAGATGAACATGGTCTTAGAATTATTTATGTAATTTATGTGGGCTATGCATGGGAAGTTATTTAAGACTGTTTAACACCGACAACCAAAAAGTAAGAAAAAAAATAAATAGGCAAAAAAGTCACGGGATGTGTCTTTTCCGATTATTGCTGGACCCTCAGTATTCGGTACCCTTCAGGCATACGCAATGTTCTTCCATTGTTTTCCTATGCTTTGGATTTGGGTTTCTATTCTTGAAGGGTGTTTTACATTCTTCCATGCATGTTGCTAGATCATATGGTTGCCATTTAAGAGCTCATAAAGTTTTGGGGTTCTTGAGATATGGTGATAGGTGGTGCATCTTTTACTTGTTCATCAACAACAAATTAATACCATAAATAAAACTAATTGTTTATTGAAACATTAAATCTGAACTTTAACAACAAACAGATTATTCACAATTCAAGTTATAACAAGGGAAAATGACATTATAGCCTTACAAGGGTAAAAAAGTCATTGTTGTTCATCAAATCCATCTGACCATAGATATTGACATACTATGTCAAACTATCAATTGTTTTCGGTATCCATTTTTTATTTTCTCATTTTTCTCTATGTGGTGTTGTATGAATTCATCACAAGAAGAAAAGTCAGTGTTGTTAATCAAATCCTTCTAATTTTCCTACACAAATACACAAACATTTTTGATATTTTGCTTCAGTTGGCACAACAAACAATTTGGGATTTCTCGAGTGAGCATATTGTTTTTGAGCCGAAGGGTTTCTAACTTGCTTAAGTTTTGAATCGATTATGGGATTAGACCCTTGAACCGGTTCTTGCTCAAATCAAGAGTCATCATATTCAATAGTCTTCCAATGCCGATTGGAATTTGGAGGGAAAAGGAATTTCCAAACAAATATAGGGATTCTATATCCTTCAAGTTTTCAACGGAAGAGGGGATTACACCGAAAAGATGATTATTCTTATTTATTGGGTAAAGGAGGGCAACTGATCTGTTAAATTTTTTTTTTAACAAAAAGAATAAATAAAAGTTAGGGACCGGAAAAGAAAAATGCGTTAAAGACCAAAACAACCTGACTAACTAAAGACCAACTAAAATAATGGAGAACATGCTCTAAACCCTAATACAAAGCATAACCAACCCCAAAGACCAAAAAAAAAAAAGAAGCAAACACTAGTCCCAAAGTCAACGCAATGATGAATAGCGATATCTTCACTTTTAATAGGAAGCCTCCAAAGGTTCTTAGTTTTAGTAACATTTGGGAAAGCCTTGAGAGTGAGGTTCAAGCGTCTTGAGCGGACTTCATCATTAATAGTCTTGACCATAGTTTCATAGGGTTTTCTCTTATTCTTGAAATCATATTGTTTCTTTCAATCTAAATATGGTAGGCATTGCCTACAAGAACTAAAGGACGAATATAAGACCAAATAAACTTAACTTTAGTGTCCTATTTGAAGAAGTCGATGATGTGAAACCACTTATCAGGAACATTATTGATATTTATGAAGGATGTCATATCAAGCCAAATCTAAGATGAATATGAACACTCAAATAATAGGTGGTTGAGAGAATTACAGAATGACAAAAGTTGCAAGCCAGGTTTTGTTTTAGCTCCCAGGTACGGATTTTATCATGAGTTTTAAGACGAACTTTAAGGGCAACCCATAAGATGAAGACATGGTGATACATGTTTTGAGAGAACTACACAAGGTGGTGTTAGTCAACATCTGACTCTTCATGTTGAAGGCTAAGCCAAGCTTCATAGATATAAAAGGGAATAATAAGACATATTTTGTTATGCAAGAGGAGTTTTTCACGTGTACGGTTGGAGATAAAGGGTAGGAGTAGGTGCTAGAGAACTAATGGACTCCCACAAAAGATGAGCAAAAACCCAATTTTTTTACGAAGGTTATCAACTTCAGAGCTTAAACCATTGGTGATACTGTTATTGTTTAGATTGAGAAAAATGAAGAGGTTCAAGTTTGAAAACCGAAGGAGGAATCATACCCTGGAAATACTATTTTTTTATGGATTATTTAATTGAAAACGACATAAGTTATTTATTCCACGTATTATGTAAGATGGATAATCGATTTCTAATCCGAGTCAAGTCATAGACCTATTTTCTCTTTTTATTCCTAATGAAACATTTAAGTATTTTCAAGATGATGATGTACCATAGAAGTGAAAATTTTAAGAGCCTAAATGACAATCAAAGATTGATATTAGACTTACATATATTGGTTCAAGAGATAGGATGTTTATTAAGAAGAAAAATTCGATAAGATTGTTGTATTTTCTTTTCGATGATTTTCGCATAGGACAAAAGGATTTTTGTCAGTTCAGTTTCCATAGGTTGTAAAACCTCATTTTGGTTACTTTAATGCAATTTGTTTGTTAAAAAACTAAAATGATGAATTAATTGTAGGCATTATAGTGGACATAATAGAGGTTGAAATGGGATTGTGGATTTGGAAGGTCCTTGGCTTTCCTCATTCCAAAAATGACAAGTTAATGTGTATGTGTGTGACTATGATCTGATTTGGTATATGGAGTCTAGGAAATACACATGAAGAAATCATTGTGTATGAGGTGGGATTTGACATGTTACTGTTGATAAATGAAACCAAATAATTATCGGGTTTGCATTAAGCGTTTGGACCAAAAAATGGATGTTAACTGTTTTCTATGTTCGCTAACTATGAATGTGTGATGTTCATCTACTACTTAAATGTTATTCTTCGAATATGTTATGTTAGTCTGTGAATGTGTTACATTGATGCAAAGAATTACATTGCTATTGTATTTTATTAAATTCAATGTGTTATGATAAGATTGTTATATTATTATATTAAAATTATTGTTTTATTGTCCTATTGTGCTTTAGATTGATGATGAAGATGTCTTGGTTGACAACACTAAAATAGAAAATGTCGGACCAAGTGAAACAACAAAGAAGAGGAAAAGAGTATATATGCATAACACACCTTGTTGGGAAGATTTCTTGGAGCCTAAGGGTTTATAGAATAATCTCTGGTGGAATCAGGAAAGTGGATAATTACCCGGTTTAACATTATCTTAGATTTGGGCTTATTTAGGGTTTCCTGACTGCACTATAAATAGGGATATACCCCATGGATTTCGACGATCCTCTTCCTTAGAAGACCTAGCTGAAATTTTCATTCTCTTACCTCCTTCTCAATCATCTTCCACAGCTAGTGTTGGGTGTGAACTATTAGAGGTGCGACATTTGTGACACTTGCTATTAAGGCTTCAACAACACAAGGATTTGAATTGCTATTACCATATAGTGACTAAGGTATCATTATTCTAACCCTATTTGTGAATTACAAAATATATAGTATCATGCTATGGTTTTATGTTTTGTTGTTCAATTTGTATGTTCAACTAGAGAAAACATAGATCAAAATTATTTAGGGTTGCATGCACACATATGATTATTTGTTATACTCAAAACCCATCAATCCCACCCCTTTATTTTATTAAAATCCCTTATTTAAATGTTTCTTTTTATGGAAAATCTACCAAATCTTCGATTTGAGTCCAGACACACCCGAGAGTATCAAGAATCCCTCAAACCAAGGCTCAGATACCCTCTTGTAAAATCCCAGAAGTTCCAGCACTACTAGAAAAAACAACCTTTTACGACGCTCATTGCACATCGTAAAACGCTTAGATGACGCGCAAATGCGCGTCAAGAAAGTTCTTGTCATAAAGAGAGACGGTACGCATTTACGACGCGCATTTATGACATGCATTTACGACGCGCGGTTATGACACGCAATGCGTATCAAGGAAGGCCCTGTCATAAAGGAAGACGACACGCATTTGCGTGTCGTAACCTTACGACACGCGTGTTATGACACGCATTGCGTATCAAGGAAGCCCCTATCAAGAAAGGCCATGTCATAAATGAAGATGACACATATTTTTGCGTATCATAATTTTAAATGTTCTAAAAAAAATATTTATATATTTATTAAATTTTAAATTAAATTTGCATTTAATGTCTTATAATAGAAATAAAATATCATATACAAAAAATACAATCCATTGCATAAAATTTAATGTCATACAATTCAATTTCTTACAATATCTAAATTTGCATCTAATCTACTCTATACATCAAATTCCAACTAAGTAAAGTTGCATCTTGCCTTTCATAATTCTTTAAGACTAATGCTCCAAGTAGCTGATTATATGGATAAGCAGTTGTACATTGGCCCATCTCACTCAAGAATGACTTAGCCTAATTCAACTCCAAGTCTTTACTGCATCTTGCTGATAATGCTGCAAGATTTGAATCAAGTGGCTTCATATTCCTTTCTTCCATCAACTTTACCTGATGCACAAAAAACACAGAAAAAAAACATTGTAGTGGAAGGGGTAATTTGGGAAAATGTGAGGGGTATCCTCTGCAAAACAAAACAAAAAATATCCTTTGCAAGATTTTCTCTTTAGTGTCCTCTGCAAAACAAAACAAAAAATATATATCAAAAAATGAATTTTTTTATAGTTTTATATTATAATTATGCCTAGAGTACTGCATACCTGAAGAACCATTTGTTAGCTCTACAACACTTTGTGAATCCGAATCTTGTCTTTCATCACTAACACCAGCACCATGTCTTAACAAATATATGAAGTTTGAAGATGAAGATATACCTTAGATGGTTTTGGACGTCCTAATTCCTGCTTAGAAAATCATTTGTTATAAAATAGTATTAGGACTATAAAAACAAGATAAGGAAACGAGGATAAATTATGTAGTTAGATCATTATAACTTTTCTGACCTTTTAATAAAACCATTTCTCCTGCTTACCTGGTTTTGATATAGGATTGAAATAAATAAAAGCATAAAGTATTTATCGATTTAGCCACTGAACAGTCACTATAATAATCATAAAACAGATAAAAGTTTAGTGGCTTAATCCATGATATAGTGAAAGTGTGTTTTGCTTCTTTTTTTTTTTTTGTATTTTAACAATTTCCAAAGCCAAGTAATTGGAGAAATGGTTTCTTAAATCGTCAAAAAGAGTGTAATGGTTTAATTACTATAAAAAAATAGTTAAGTGGTTAGGTAAACATCATTAAAAGGATGTTTAAAGCTATAAGATCTTTTGAATAAAAAAAAATACTATTTTTTTTGAAGTAGCTTAAATGTTTTAACTACTTATAGCAATTTTTTCAGCTGTGAGACCATCCTCTTGCCATGGGTTTTTTTTATTGTGGTGGTGTGAGATTCAGAGTTGTTAATAGCTTGAGTGGTTTCCATGGGTGCAACTCCATCCAAACAAAATACATGCTGGAAATAAAAAAAGTAATAGTTTTCTAATAACTTAGAAACAGAATCAGGAAGAGTAAACAAACAAAAACTGAAACAACAGCATTCTCTACATCAAAACCTTGCATTAATTCATGTTAAAGAAAAGGGTAAATAAATCTTTTAGCCAAATAAAGAAAAGTGTTTTACTATTTTTTACCTTTGAAACAACAACACTCTCTACCCATCTTCTAGTGATTGTAGTAACTCATAGTTTTGGTTGCCCATCAAAACTCTGGTATCTGTACCAAAATAACCGTTTTACCCTCAAGTTCTCAAACAAACAATTTTAAAGTGGGGAAAAAAGAAAGGTGATTACCTTGTGGTGGTTTGTATATACAACTTTAGGATTTACATTTCCTGAAGGATCTTTATCACTTGATGATATATCAAAGAAAACAGTCAAATAAGTGTCTTTATCAAGTCCACATAACTTCCATGATGTGGTGTTCCATTGACCTATCATTGTGTTTGCAACAACAGGTCCTTTCTGCAACATAAATAGCCAATATATATATATATATATATATATATATATATATATATATATATATATATATATATATATATATATATATATATATATATATATATATATATATATATATATACAAACTGGTAAAGATTAATGAACAATTTAGTAAATGACTAAATTGCCACCTTATCCAAAGATGTGCAAGGTCCTATGATCCCTTGAATCTTGATATCCTTTGAACATGTAATTTTAAGTGTGCCACTGAAAGTAATATAATCACAATTCACAAATTCATTACACATTTATAGTTATACATGAAATAATATGATGATGAATGATACTATATTCATCTTATGTACTCACTTATGAGCAAGACCAAGAGACTCTTCTCCTTTCTCAAAAACATGTTTGAATGAATCTTTAAAAATCGAATGACCAAAACTTTCAGCTAAAACAACAAGTCCACCAGTTCTTTCAATAATCACCTTCATTTCTGCAACTCCAACCTAAGAATATAAAAAAGATTCAGTTAAGAACATAATGATGGAATGAATAGCAGAGTTAAGAGAATGAATGTTGACCTGGTCAAGGGTAGAAGTAAAAAGATCCAAAACATAACCATGGCTGACCATTTGCTTTGCAAGTTCTTCATAAAACTGAACTACTTTTCTAAAATACAGTGCTGTATCTTTGTCCAGATCTTTATGTGAATGAACAGGATCTGAAAGATCTTAGAAGATAATCTGAAAGAAGATTGAAGGGAGATGGAGGTTTGGTTTAAAGATTGAAGCTATGTACTGGCCTGCATATAATAAACAAGATGCGACATTAAAAAATTGATGATTAATAATTGCAGATATTGGGACAACAAATATCATACAAAATTGGCCACGGGTTTCTCGAAGTTGAAAATCGCATTATTTTATCATTTTTAATTGAATCCAACCCTGGACCTCCCATCCTTCTTCTTCCATGTTTGTACAATGCTACTGCAACAAAAAATCAAAACTATATTAAAAAAATTAATTGCAAGCTAAATATTGAAGAAAAAAAACTAAGTGCCAGTTAGTTTTCTTGGCAGTTGAAACTTGCAAGGGCATAATGGTAATTTTCTACCCCAATTAGAAGTGATTGTAAAAAACAAAACTCTCGATGCCAGTTAGTTTGAAACTTGAAAGGGCAAAATGGTAATCTTTTTTGCAATTGGGCCTCACCAGTGCAAATGTTGGTCTCGCTGCCTAGTGTGTGAATCCACTTCTCCCCTTCACAATTCTGTAAATCGTTAAATTTGAACCTTAGTACAGGTTCTTGCCTCCTTTAAACTATAAAGAGTCAAACCCCCTGAATTTCCAAATATGAAAGCGAATTGCTTAATAAATAAATAAACCAGTATCATATAATCAAACTAAAGCGACCTTGATTAAAGTGAAAATAGATTAAAGTCAAATGTCAAAGTGAATTGATTAAAGTCAAAATACATGAAAAATCGACCTTGAGATCGATTTTGAGAGGCTAAAAAAAATCAGAATGCAAAAGATGAGAATTAGAGTGAAGATAAAGTTATACGATGTGAAAAGGAAGAACAATCGCACCTAAACCAAAGTAAACCTCAAATTTCTGGGTAATAAAGCCAGAAACAGGTGGCGGTAGAGGATTCGGAGAAGCAACGGTGCACAGCAGGAGGTGGCGACAAAGGGAAAAGGAATAAGAGTAGTAAGAGTGATTCAACATGGGCATTCCAAACTAAACAGGAGGTAGCGTTCCATACCAATGAGTACAAAGCTAGAAGGGACCGGTGGCAAAGCTATGTGCAGAACCACGGTGAAATTATAGATGAGGGGAGGTGAAGGTGATAACGACCGTATACATTAAGAATCGCTCCCACATCCTTCTTATTGGAGGAGGAAGCAGCTCATCTCCAGGAGTGCCGTCTCCAACGCAAATCAACCCAAAAAAAGGGTTCATCTTTGAAGAAAGAATGGTGACGGGTATATAGACGGTGGTATATAGACGCCGGCATGAGAAAAGTATGACGAAGATGATGGTGAGGCGGTATAAAGCAGCTGCAAATGGCCGTATATGTTAAGAATGCCTCCCACTGCATTTTTTATTGGAGGAGGAAGGGGGTAGAGTGAGAGTAAATAAGGAGGAGTTAAGCTTAAAATAAAATAAAACCCTAGCATGTCCTAGGGTTTGCACATAAAATAAGATGGCGATGGCTTAGGGTTTGCACAGAGAATAGAGGGAGAGACTGGAAGGAGATGAGGATAGAGTGGAGAAGCGGGCACTTAAAATTTTTAGAATTTTAGAGATTTTTTATCCCCCCCCTAAAAACGCGCCTCTAATTAAAAAATTATAAAGCGACATTTCTAGATGACACACATTTAACATAAGCGCCCTCCGTGTTTGTAATTTTTTTTGTTGGACATTAATTTTAGGGCACGTACAAATGCGTGCTCTCTATCCTTCACATTTTTCAAATCTGACATTATTTTTTAGGGCACGGACGAATGCACGTCCTCTGTCAGCGCATGTCATTGTTTGCGCGTCATTAAAGGGTTGTTTTCTATAGTGCAGATAAAAACTTTCATTTCAAACATTCCATAGGCATGACAAAAAAAAATTAATGTGTATCAAAACATTAATTTAGGAGTTAAAGGAGAAAACTTACCAAGAATGGAGGAAAATCTCCTGAACACTTTGTCAAGAAAATCATGACTGGGAATGAGAAGGAGAGTGAGAAGTGTGTGTTTTAGGGAATGAGAAGGAGAGTGAGAAGTGTGTGTTTTAGGGAATGACAAATAAGGCTTTTGAGTGTAAGGAATAAGGATCTTTTGAATGAATTTCGATAAGGAATCTGATGGAGTGTTGGAGGAAAGATATTTATTTGACTACGTAAATAATAGTGACATAAAGTTGATGTGGGATGACTTGGTGTCATAACTTTATGAGAAAGTTAAAGAGTACCTTTATGTACTCTTGATATTTTACTCTAAGTGAAAGATAATTTATATTTGAATAAACCATCAAAATGGGGATAAAATATTAGTTTAAAGGGTTTAAAATGTTAAATTATGAATTTGGTGGAATTCTCACGTCAAAAACGGGCTTAAGGAGCGAAAGTGGTCAAAAACCGGGCTTGAGATGCGAATCTTCGAGGGTGAGAAGGCTGGTCGGGAAGGGAAAGTTGGAAGCGAGAGCTGCTGAGGCGAAGGTAGGTTCGCGCGAAGGTCGGCTCATAAGCGAAAGTGGGTTTCGCTCCCTTTATTCGAAGCAAAACTAGTCGACCAAGTGAATCTCCTCGGTTTCCCAAGTGAAGGTGTCCGATCCGAGAGGGGCCTCAGTCCGAGTGCTAGGGGCGAAACATCCTGGTTAGCCGTGAAAGTCTCATCAGGAGCAAAAGGGAGGTTCGCTTCAGAAGGGTTTCGCCTCAGGAGGGTTCGCTTCTTGAGAGGGTTTCACTTCCTTAAGAGGGGTTCGCTTCCCTGAGAGGGTTTCGCTCCTAATGGACTGTTTTTCATATTTTCATCCCGTTTCAAGGAGTTTTCAACTAATTGAAGGGTCGGGATGACACGGATGTTTATAAACAGTTGAAAGAAATTTTGAGAGAGATTTGGGAGAGAGAGAAAGATATATATATATATATATATATATATATATATATAGAGAGAGAGAGAGAGAGCGAGGGAGATTGAGAGAGACTTTGTTTATGACCTTTGTTAGTGTTTAACCTCGTAATGCAAGGTTTGTGAACCCCATTATGCCTCATTATGAGTGTTTTATGCCCCCTAAGGGTACGTAATAGTTCTTTATAGAGTCATTACATCACTTACCCTGCTTAGGGTTTAGAATTTCTGAACATGTGAAACTTCCAAGTGATACTTTGTATAAGATAAAGAGTTTGTACATTAGTAAACATAGAGTAGGCTCTACCATACAAGCACTAACTAAGTTTACTGGTTTGACTCGTTGAATTTGTTTGACTTGACTTGACTAGAAATTGTCGGTTGTCATAGGTACGTTATTTGAAATTTTGTATGTGTTTATGTTATCGATAGGATACTATTATTGTCAATGTGATGTAATGCACATTGTTATATGTATATGTATATGTATATGTATATGTATATGTATATGTATATGTAGTTTGGCATGTGTCTGTATTTGTGTAATTCATTTGTGTATGTGTAATGTCGTATGTGTATTGTAATTGGTATGTTTATTTGGTATGTGGGTGGAATTTGGTATGGGTATGTGTAATTAGTATGTTTATATGTGTATTTGGTATATGTGTATTTTTTGCAATGTGTAAACTACAATGCTACAATGAAAAAAAATAATAAACAAAGTAAAGTATGATGTTATTATTGACAATGTTAGTTAAGTACATTGCTATAATAAGGAAAAACAAAAATATGTTTTTTGTGTTATTGCGTTTGTTTGGATCTGGTTGCTTTACATCATGGCTAACGTTACGATATATAGGCCTGGGACATGAGGGTGACAGACATAGAGATCCACCACCTCTATTTTGTGGAGGTCGTGGCCAACATGAGTAGGAGGGTAAGTCTTATTAAGATTTATTATTTTCTATATCTATTCAGTTAACATAAACTATCATTACTAATAATTATTTTATTATATTTGAAGTTATTCAACAGAAGGAAATAGTAGGAAAAGTTCAAAACCTTAAGCTCGAAAAGGAGTTATCTAAAAATAAGGGAAAACCTATAGATTTGGACTTTTACAGGGATCTTACATATGATCTAGTTCTAGAACCTAAACATATGTTTCCCCGTGAGATTGGGAAGATAATGTGGCAGATTGTACCTTTTGATAGAAAAAGATGGAAAAAAGTTCTCCCATAATATAAGATGTCATAAAATACCATATCATGGTAAGTTATTTATATTAGAGTGTTTATATGTTTAATTATGACTGTTTCTTACCCAAGTAAGTTTTTTGATAGATAGTTCTATTTGGATGGGGTTTCCCTGGATGTATTGTCGCTAACATCATCGTCGATAATGCCGAAACGTCGAATATGTTTCATGTTTTGTCGAATTACCCCATTTTTCGATCACGTATGTCAATGTAACGGCTAATTTGTCAAGTATGCTACAAGACAATTAGCGATGACATCAATAGCTGCAATTTTGTCGTTGCTAATGCTAAAAAAATTAACCTTGAAAATTTATGTTAGGTTACCACTTTGTCATCATTATTGGTCATGTATCATCGCAAAAGAAGTCGCCGCTAAGGCCGTCATTTTGCATATTACACGGAGATAACTCATATTTTTTCCTCTCCCACTATTTTGACGTTTTGATGCATTTCCTCTTCGTCGTTCAGTCACCACCAAGCCACATTATTGTCATTTCACCACGATAGCACTAGAGGTTGTATACCGACAACAAGATTCTATATTATCAACAACTTTTTGAACATCAACGCCAATGGTACATGTTTCTCCTCCCTCCTTTCTCTTTCTTTTTCTCTTTTGACCTTTATTATATGTTAAATAACAACACTTATGGGTTTTTGGGTATTTAAGCATATCGAGTGTTTCTTTGCTATTTCATGCGAATTCCAGTTACAGCACACCACCACCACTAATTACACGTTCTTTCAC